AAAACCCCCCGGTGTAACCAATAATTAAAATTAAAAAAAAAAAAAAAAAAAAAAAAAAAAAAACTTCCCTACTTGTACTACCATTCAAAAGTTTGAGATAATCAAAACTTTTATTTAGCATGGACGGATTACTGTCCCTTTTGAGCTACCTTCTTTTTTAATTTTTTGTTTATCAAAAAATCTATCCTTATTTTCACAAAAATATTTAGAAGCACAAATGTTTTCAACACTGATAACAATAAGAAATGTTTCTTGAGCATCAAATCAGCATATTTGAATAATTTCTGAAAGATCAGATGCCACTAAAGACTAGGGTAATGGCTGCAAAAAAATTAAGCATTTTCATCACAGGAATAAATTATTATAAAATAGATTAAAACAGAAAACAGTTATTTGAATTTTTAATAACACTTCACAATACAACTGTTTTAATGATCAATGCAATGCAATCTGGCTGAGTATAAGAGACTTTAGAAAAATCAAAACCTTACAGACTCCAAACTTTTGAAAAGTAGTATATCATAAAACCTATGAAAGGAAGTGCAGCATATGATTGGTCGTGCATCACTTACCTCACAGAAGAGTGTCAATTTGTCATCAGGCAGCAGCCCGTTGGCCTCATCGAGGAGGAAGTCTCGCCTTATGAACTTCTTGAACCCCCAGTCTTTTCCTTGTACGAAGCGATACGCCCGCTGGCTCTCTGCACAAAAATGAAAAACAAATACAGCATATTGGCACAAAATTGATTAGGTAGACACAGAACACCGGCCTTACTTCAGGTCTCTGTAATTATATGACCTGTTAACAAAATCCCATCGAAGGAACTTTTACCACAATATAAAACATGCACTAATTCAGTCAAGTATTAGAGTGAGGCAAGATATCTCACACATATCTCAGACTAATCTGAATTCAAATACTCTTTAAGAGGCTTTTCTGCCTATCTGGCAAGGTCTATAATCTTGCTCTCCATTAATTTCTGCATTATAACCAGTCTGATTATTCTGTGATTCTTCACTCTCCTGCGGTTTCTCTGAAAGCAACTTAAACCTCCATGAATGCATTTGTATTTTTATAGCTACTACGTCCAAACCTTCACTCCATCTTGACAGCAGATGTCTCAGCTGACCAGCAGGATCGGGTTCACATAACCAATGCTGGAAGGTATTTTGAATTTAAAAAAAAAAAAGATAAGAGAAAAGAGATGAGAAGGAGAACAAGGGGAAGGAAAATAAGTGGAAGAGAAAGGAAGACAATGAAGATGAAGAGGAAGATGAAAAGGAACAAGAATAAGAAGGGAAGAATCTACAAGAGAAGGACAAAGAACAAGACAAGACAGTGAAGAAACAAAAACAAAAAGAAGAAAAAGGAACAAGAAAGAGAAGAATGAAGAACAAGAATACATGAAAGTGATGCAGAATCAAGAGGTGCCGACAAAAATCCTACTGGGGGATTTCTCCTTAGTCACTGCTTTCATACACAGAAGGGGAGAGAAGAGAAATGCATGACACAGGAAGTGGCGAAGAGCGAAAAAAGGAGAGATGAATAGATTCCTTTGTGCTTTTGTTGCATAGAGCGTATGTGTGACAAGCACACTATATCAAGTGTGGCATCCTCTCTTCCTAAACGTTACACTTGTTCTACTGAAGCATCTTTCCTCTTTTCTCTGTCGGTCGAGCGCAGCTGGGGCTCAAGTCATTGCCGGTTAATCTGCGGCTGCTTGTTTGTGTGTGTGCAGGTGTTTTTAACATGGTGTGAAATGGCTTTGTGTTCAACTGTGACAGACATACAGATCTATGCAATGTGGAAGCACTGAAAGGGCAACCAAAGACATGCCTCAGGAAGACCCTTCACATCAGAACTTGAGTCACAGTAACTTTGCAATAGCTGCTGCTGGTATCCAATAGCAGAAAGGCCCATATAATGCTAATTATTATGATTACTATATTTGACATATAGGGGAAAAAAGCCCATTTTAGGAACATACATTTTTGAAATGTGATAATTAAGCACATGTCCTCTACAGATTCTTTTTACATAGATGTAACACTACATATTTTAGATGTATTAACACTTTTTTGTCAAATTTTACATTCACATGTTTTACAATGAGAATTGGGGGATAAAGGCAGTTGGGAAATGTGCAAAATTGTCACATAAATAAATAAATTAATTAACTAACTAACTTTGTGGCCAAGCATCACTTTATTTTTGTTAAATTAAAACAAATGATAAATGTTGTCTTTTAGATTAGTGGAAAACTGACACATCTTAGAGATTTATATAGCGACAGAACAAGAGGTTATAGTGCAATTTAATGAGACATACATAAATTATACATCTCAAAATGGTCAAGTATCAGCCAATTTATCGGTCTAAGTTATGCCTATGCTGAAGTATTGCTTCCAGGACTGCCCGTATTGCTCATGGGCTGTGATGTCTCGAATTGGACAGACAGGAGTGTTCACAGATGGCACGGTTTGATTCAGCTGCTTTGGAGAAGATGCTGATGGACCGGTGGGTAATTAACCCTCCCAGAATCAAGAACTCCTCAGTAAATCAAGTTACTCACCTATTAAACAGGAGAAGCAGAATTTCAAAACATACATTTTCAAACCCCACACCACACGGGCATGAACACACTACAGCACTACAGGTGAAAGCAACTTTGCTGGTCATTTGATGCCAAAAAAGGCCAAAAACAATACCATTTCAGATGTTTAACCATAACCCTTGACCACAGATGCACATAATGGAAGACTGAGTGAGAGAGAGAGAGAGAGAGAGAGAGAGAGGTGGAAAGAAGAGAGACGCTGATTGGTCTCTCGAGGAGGTCTGGGGTCAGATCAGGGCAGTGGCTAAATTTGTGCTTTCATTGGGGACGTCTAGCAACTAACCAATTGCAGTAGGGCAGGGCAAGTTCCTGTTGGCATCCAACCAAGGTCAGGCCTCTGTGGACACGAATACACAAGGAGTGTTTTAGGACATCTGACCGAATACAGCTCCAATAAAAAGGACTGACAGATGGATTATGCATATATAGAGGGAGAAGAGAGAGTTAAAGCATTGAAATAGAAAGAGTAGTCAGTGGTAATACATATTCAGGCCCCAGCGCTGCACTTTGGGGCACAGTGTCTAATGTTCTGGCACTCAGAGAGAAAGAGAGAAGGTTGCTCAGATCGCAAATGCACTAAGCATACACACACAGAAAGCCAGGAAGGTCACAAGGCCAAGTTCTATTTGCCCATACTTTAAACCACATCTGTAAGTGAGCAAAACTACACTGTAAAAAATGACTGTGATTTTAACAGTAAAAGACTGTAAAAATGCTACAGTAAAAACATGTTAACTGGTTAACAGTTTCCATACTATATTCGGTGAATAAATGTAACTACATTTAATGTAATTTTACAGTAAAATAATCTTAAAAATACGGTTTTTGGAAGTGAAAAAGAGTCATTGTATAATTTACAGTGAAAAAACTTAAATTGACACTCCCAGAATTCCCTGCATGACACTTCATATTTGATGTTTTTTTGTTGTTGAAATAACATGTTTCTTCTTAGTTTTTTCTTATCAGTTGTGTACATTATGATTTAATCTTACATCTAATGTTGTTAAATTAATGTTTATTGCATTATTTCAGTATCATGTGTGTCACCATGATGGGGTTTAGTGTTTGTGTGAATGACACTGTGCACCTTCTATAAGTATTGCCCTCCTCATCTCGTAGAAAAGCTGTTTGTGATGAGCTTTGGTTCATCATGTGACTCTCTCATCACCACTAGTTTTTGGTGGTTATCAGTGCATTACAATGGTTCAAAACAGATATTAGTACTTCAATATGTTGGTTTATTAACATTACATCAGTTAATGAAATACGGTATTTTATTGTGAACTTAATTTAAGTCTGTAAAACCTAAAATGTTGCTACCATATTTTTTACGGTGAAGTTCTGGCAACCACAGCTGCCGGTATTTTACCGTAAATGTCACAGATTTTTTTTTACAGTGTAGATGAATTCCTGTGGGCATGCATCAATTGGCCAGAGTTCAACAGCAAACCATTTTAATCTTGCAACACTGCAATTTCAAACTCCTTGAGAAAGACATTGAGGGTGTGAAGTAGTCTCAGCCTCGGACAAAACACCCATTGACCGCCCACAGATGACCTGATGCGTACTGCGTACTGATACGCACACACACACACACACAAACAAAAAGCTCAAGTTGGCTGAAATAGCCAGTTCTAATCCAGCTGGCTTGCACATATGCATTTTCAGGTGTCAGGATACACAGGTTTTTCTGCTGAAGAAGATTTCCTCATTGGATTTGCCAACATTTGCAAGGACCATGGCATCCAGTCTTTGAAAGAATTCCAAGAATAATACTCAAGCCACTTAGTAGCAAGCAAATTATATCTTTTAGCAGCTGGTCTTTTAGTTAGATGGTCGCTTTCTGTCTATATGGGTGGTTATAGTACAGAAAAAGCTGTAAAGTGGACAGATTTTACAAGAATAATAAAAAGTCTGGTTACATGACACTAAAAAGGAAAATATAGCGAGATCTCAACAACAACAACAACAAAAACATCTTCGACTTACACTCTGCCATTAATAGAGAGTTCAGTAGCACAATGTCAGAACAATAATGTGAGTAAACTGACATACAACAGCATCAACACAATCCTCTAGTGTAAACACTATCCAATAATTCCTCTTACCTTGACACACCTATACAAACAGACAGAGAGCAAAACACCTTTAACTGCCTGATATGATAAACCAACTGTCTCGATTGGGTCTGTAAAAATGTCTGGTCTCAGGGTGGCCCTCGGCTGGAGTAAGCTGCAACGTGAACCACATTATTTTACTCAAACGTCCGGCTACGTATTGTTAAACTAAAAACTATATATGACAGCAACAAAAACAGACACAGTTTAATAGCAGGTTATGAAATTAACACCTGCCACCAGCTGAATGGCAATAGTTTTAGCACATATGTGGCGGGTGACTTGTACGACATCTTGAATTGACTTTTGACAGGAAATTCTGTTGCTTAGAAGCAACGACACAAACTTGAATATTACATAAAACAGACAAAAGAAAAGCTATCAATATGCATGTTGGACCTACACATCTCACCTTTAGCTTCTGCACATGTTGCTGAAAAAAATAGAAATGAAATCCTCATCCTTCTGTGACTTTACAGTGAAACCGTCAGTGTTATAAACGTTGATCTATGGGAGTATTAACAGCTACGGGCCACATGGGGCTGAGAGCAACAGCAGTAAAGCTCTGTTGTGTAAATATTCATCAAACAGTCAATAGCCAATAAAGCACATTCAGAATCAATGTCTGTCAGCATGCAGTCTCAACTGAATAACTACACACAGCACGCAGCGAAAGTATCATCAACTGAGTAGTTTATATACTACCCAACATCCATCCAATCTACAGCTGTGTGAATCTTTCGTTTCTTTATTAGCCCAATGCCTCTGACCTTCAGCATCTCGATTTCTAAAAGCCTGTTCACAAAAAAAGAGAGAGAGATCTGAATACAGAATAATTCATCTATATGAACTAATTCTCAGCAAGTCTAAAATATATATATATATTTTTCTATCTACTTGTTTTCTTTTATTATACAAAAGCTTGACTACCTAACACCAGCACTCTCTGTTCGGTTCCTACTTTTTACTCTTTTTTTTTTAATTATAAAAAATACCTATAAAGGACCCTATAAAATAACAATACTTTTACAGCATTTAATAATATAGGTTTATCTTAATTTCTGCATACAGTTGACTTTTAATATTTCAAGTTAAACGTAAAATGTGACAGTTGAATTAACAACAATCGATAGTATATGTATAAAAAGTTCATTATTTCATAATCTGTAATGAATTAACTAATATTAAATTAACTTTTAATTATTAAACAGTAATGTACTTCTGATTAGCAAAAGCACATAGGCAAGAGATGTTTATTGCTGTGACAAACTGAAGGCATATATAATGTGGCATAATTTTAAATATTCCTTTCATATGTCCGGCAAACCTGATCACTGATCATCAGAGAGGAACAGGTTCCTCAGCACCTCTATTTGTTCATCGTCATGCCCATGTCTGACTCTGTAAACACAAGTCATGCTGCAAAGTCCCAGTGCCTTCTCACAGCCCTCTTAATTAAAGCACTTTACTTCGTTTTTATTTCTCTCTCTCCACCTCTGCTCCCCCCCCCCCTCTTCTCTCGTTCATCTTGCTCTCCCCCAGGAGGAGGGCAGGATTAAATTGGATTCTAAATGATCCAGAACCGATAGAGCAATTTCTGCTGCCATATTTTCATGCTCCGTCCCGCTTTAAAAACTCTCCCCATCAATGTACGGTGGCTGTCGGCACTCCCACGTCTCCGGGGACGCCCCAAGCATGTCACCCCCTCCCCAATTCCGGAGGGGCGGTAAATGGAGAGAACGTTGAGTGGAGGAAAGAGATGGAGGAGAGGGGGGAGGGTGGGGCAAAACACAAGGAATGCCTTCTCGCCCATTAAGGTGCAGAAAATGATAAAATTGGAAAATGAGAGACGGGGTTGTTTAACCTCTCATCTCATCCCGCTGCCACAACCTGGCACCCTTTTCTCTTTCTTTTGCTCCCGTTTCTCTGCCCATATGTGAGATTCTTCAAAAAGATGAGTGTGACTGCTGTTCGCACCTCAGTTTCATCTCTCCAGGCCACACGGAGCTTGCTACCTTTTGTATAACATCTAATACAGGCTTGTATAAAACAAATGCTGAAGAACATTTGTTTTCAATGCTAATATGCATTTATTGTTTGTACAGCACTATAAAACATTGTTTTAGTGAATTACAGTTCACTGTAAACAAAGATAAGAGAAAGCATTTACTGTATGTCCCTTATACACACGGGCAGAGATTTGGTGAGGAGAGCTTTAAAGGACCCAGAAATTAAAGTTCTGCCAACATTTACTTTATTTCCAAATCTTTTTTTTTTTTTGTCCAGCACAAAAGGTAAATATCCTTGACATTCTTTCAATATAACAGAAGTGGATGAAGACTAGAGCCGTCAAGCTCTAGAAATGACCAAAAAAAAACGCATTTAAGCATCAAAATGTGGTTCAGGGTTTCTGCAGGATTTTAAAGCTGAAATTTAAGACTTTTTAAGACCTGCACAAATAAAATTAATACCATATAAGCAGGGAAGGGTATCTATGGTAACATTAAATGGTAAAATGATTGTAAAAAGCATGATTTATAGTTCAGATACAAGTCTTCACAAAAACAAAAAGTTCACCACATCTCAGCCTTTAAACCATTTTTAAGAAAGAAAAATAAACTATGGTTACTATAGTTAATCCATGGTAACCACAAATTAAACATGGTTTCGCTACACTAACCAGGGCTGGAAATGGGGGGAACGCGGGGGGCGGAGTCCAGGGAGTGAATTTCGAGAGGGTATGACGTTCCAGCTCCAACTGGTTAGATTTTTTAATTCAACAGCCTATGCACATAAACGTAGCACAATATATAATAATAATCATTTTTAAATGAATCTTTTTGAACAGTCACTTGCTTCGTTCCTGAATGAATCAGCTGTTTGAAACAATCAAATGACTGAATGATTCAGTGACTTGCCGCCACCTATTTAAATAATTTAATATTTCTATATTCAGAACTTATTTTAAAACATTCATCACATAAAATTGTTATTATGAATTTAAATGCTTTCATCCCACCTCTGAGCCTCATTAAACAGTCTGTAAATATACCTAAATGCCACTTTGGTGTTCTTCTGTGCCACCTCTGTAGTGCAAAGATTAATTTTTTGATATTGATTGAATTTGATTGGTAACTTATGTTTCCTGACTGTGTCTTATTATACTAAGTGAATATATTGTTATAATTAACAAAAACAGTTTATAAATATAATTACACGGGGTGCCTTTGATCTTGATACCTAAAAAACATATGGTTTAGAGGAGACATGAAATAAGTTTAATGTTATAGATTATAAATGTTTTTATAATTAATTAAATCTAAAAGGTCGTCTAAAAGTTACCCCAACTTAGAGTTCCCCCAGTGAATTTTGGTCATTTCCACCACTGACACAACCATAGTTTAACCACAGTATTTTTTTTTGTAAAACTATGGTTATACAAATGGTAGTCAATATGCTTAAAAAAAAAACATGGTTACTACACTTTTACTATAGTAAAACCATGGTTAATTTTCGTAAGGAAAAGCTATAAATTATTAATGTAAACAACTATTATCAATCAACTATTAATTAAATATATTTTACTGTCTTAATCGTTTACATTTTTATAATGCATTATCTTCTTGTTGATCCACCAGTTCACATTTACAACACTGCGTGTTTGCAGCGTAAAGCCACATGGGTTGATTTTCACATTGGTCCGATCAAAAACAGCAGCTCTACCAGCAGGAGGCGCTTTTGAAGCGGCAGAAATACTGAGGTTTCCCGGTAACAGCAGAACACAAAGCAATGCAGCAGCTTGTCCCCAAATTTAAGACCTCTTGAAATCATAATTAAGACTTTGTTCAATTTAAGACTTTTTATGGCCTTAAATTTGATACAACTAAATGTAAGACTTTTTAAGAACCCGCAGAAACCCTGTGGTTTAAATGTTGTGTGCTATATTCCATGTCCTCTGAAGCCATACAATAGCTTTGTGTAAGGAACACACTAAAATTTCATTAAAACCTTGACATTTGCTCCAGCTGCACTTGGCAATTGATTCAGTACACAAAAAAAGGTAATAAAAAAATGAATCATGATCATGAATCAGACTAATCCGGTTCACGAGTTTAACTCACGATCAGTTGCAGCAGTTAAAGATTACCTAACTTTAATTCGTTATTTGATTATTTTTTAAATTTGATTAAGATTATTGGTGAACCACCAAAATTTCAGTCTGTTTGTCACATAAATCTATCATCTGGCTTCAAAACACCCGTAATATACTGTAATGCACAACATATGGAGTCACTTTATCATTCACTTTTGTTGCTTTTGCATCCATTTTGAAATTTGAAAACTACAGTCCTCATTCATTTGACATTTACATTTGACATTACATGTTCCATGGAAGAAAAAAACTCATTGGGTTTGACATTGGGTGAGTAAATGATGGCAGAATTTTGAACTTTTGGACAGCACCTAACCAAACACGCACCATTTCTTCTCTATACCAATAAACTCCCTGCAAGCTACAGAGTTTACTGACCTAACGCACACATACACATACTCGTATAATATGCATATTGATCTTTCAATGTGTTATTTTTGCTTTTATAAATGCACATTCACCAGGTTTTAACATCCACGCCAGGATGTCAGAAATATTTTTCCTATGAGAATAACAAAACCACCTTACAGAAACACACACCCCCAACTATGAATAATACTTGGTTTAAGTGAAAGTGAAATCAGGCATAAAGTTGTTCCATCTGTGCCACTGAAGGCCAAACCCCCTGTAACCCACTTACACCCATCAAACAGGACAGCCTCGAGGCCATCGCCCCAATAAAATCTCAATTAAAACACTGCCGCCTGCCTCAAATTTAATATTACGAGGGGAAAAGTTCACGTTGAATGTTATTACTTTCACAGAAAATACAAGAGCAATCACACTTTCAAAGGCATGCCACTCTGAGATGAACTTTGTTTCGCAGGTATCCGTGTCTGTAGGATCTACAGGTCCCTAAAGGAATCAAGCCATACTGAGCCAGTCTGCAAAAACGCTCTGAATAAATAAATGTTTCATAAAACACTGATTGTGATGAGTATGCGGCAATGAAATTTACTTCTGCTTATGCACAGTGTTTTTAAGGAGATCAAATTATACACTAGATTAGAGGTGGACGGCATGACAAAAATCACTGTATGAGCAATTTTATATCACTGAAATGATAGTTATTTTGGCTGGAAAATCAATTTAAAAAATGGTTTATATATAAGAAATAATAAAATACCTGAAAATGAAATTAGCTACCTTTAAATTGCTAATTCTTTTTAGTTGAAACTGGATGGACACAAAACAAAAGACAACTTATATAAGGAAGCTAATAGCATGGTATATACGGTATCATACTGCTTTCTTCACCAAATAAAAAAAAAAAATTATTCTTAAGAGTTTGATCGACATCTCACCCATAGCTTTGGTTTCCTCGCCCTTGGCATTAAGGATGGAGAACTTGAATTTCGCCCGAACCTCGCTCTTAGGACAGCTGACCAGGAGCAGATAGAGTGACAGATAATCTTTACTCTCTTCATCCAGACCTTTTGGATTCACTCTCAAACACCTGCTCAAAAACAAAGAATTTTACATCAACAGCTAGACTTTGTTTTATACTAAATAAAGTTTATCTGACAAGAAAAAAAAAAACTTAAAATAAGATGCAAATCCTTCTGCGCTCCTCCCCATCTTACCATTTAAGCTTGTCATTGGCCCCCGAGGAGAAGGTGGAGCTTTTGATGACCTCGCCCATCTCCTCCCGGCAGAAGCTGAAGTTGTTGATGGTCCACATATAGGAGAACTTAACCACTTTGATCTGGACAAACACAAACACACAAGAAGATAACAGACAAGACACTTCATTCTTCCATTTATCCATCTACTTTTTTCCCTTTCCTACATTAGATCCGCAAGTGTTGGCCAAGATATCAAAAAGCGACACATCAAAACCGGCTTTTATCTTAATATGTTCTGACAACAAACAGGATGGGTAGAACAAGGGATAAAAAGACCTCAAACAAAAACAGTGGGGGAGAATGATGGCAAGATAAATGAAAGCATTAATGGAACATGTTTCACTAGTCGTGGGGATTCTGAACACTCTGGAGGGTCCTGTGAAGTCACACACACTCAAAACACAGAGAAGATAATGGCCATATATCTTTTTAGACAGATATATACACAGATCACTCAGATACATACAGAGATGTTTTCTCAAACACATATTAGGTTTAGTATTATGTAATATGCTTATATTATATTTTTATAAAATATTGGTAATTTTTTTTAATACTTTTATTCTGCAAGGGTCTTATTGCTCAAAAGTGACAGTAAAGATTTTTATATTCTTACAAATAAATTGTGTTTCAAATGAACGCTGCTCTTTTGAATGAACTTTCTACTCATCAAAGAATAATAAAAAAAAAATGTTTCATGGTTTCCACAAAAATATTATAAGCAAATGTTTCTTTAGCACCAAATCAGCATATCATAATGATTTCTGGAGGATCATGTGACACTGAAGACTGGAGTAATGATGCTGAAAATCCAGCTTTGCATCACAGGAATCAATTATATACATTGCAAAATATACATTATAAAACATTCAAATAGAAAACAGTTATTCAGTTTTTTTTACTTTATTTTTGATTAAATAAATGCAGCCTTAGTGAGCATAATACTGCAAAAATGTATTTATTTTTTCCCAGAATGAAAAAGAGCAACATTAACATTCTGATAAACTACTCCTTTTGTGTTTCACAGAATGAAGTCTCAGGGATTTGAAACAACACATGAGTTAATTAACAAAGGTCATTTTTACCTTTAAAATGATATTTCAAAACTACTTCTAATTCCATTCAGCAGAGGAAAAAAAAAGGGATGCAGATCCCACATGGGCCTGTTGATCAGACATTTTTAGCATCGGACGAGACTTAATATGTGTCTGGGACACCAGGGGTGCTCAGATCTACACCTGGAAGATCTAGCTTCCTGCACAATTTAGTTCCAGTCTTGCTCAAACACACCTGCCAGTAATTTTCAAATAAGCCCATGAAGTTTGATTGGCTGGTTCAGGTGTGTTGGATTAGACGGGGAACTAACATTGAAGATAGACCACCAGAATTGAGCAACCATGTCGCAGAGTATACAGATTCACCGATTGACCCAGAACCACACACACACACACACACACACACACACACTCACCTGTGTGTAACACCAGCTTTCGGCCACAGGGCCGCTGGTCATTTCTGCAGGAGGCGGAGGACTCGGCACCCTGGACATCGCCAGTTTTGAGCGTTGGGGGTGGAGTAGGGGGAGGGTCACTACGCCAGCCACCGCAGGACGTCCCCGACAAAGCACACACACGTGATTACTCACTCAAAAGCAAATAACGCTCATGCACGCATGTGTTTTTCACAGCCGCCGCCAGGATCCGGGCACACACTCGTGTTCAGCGTAACCCAGAGAAATATAAAGGGAATGCAGGCAGAACCTTGAGGTGTTTTTCAGTATGCCGTCCAGTTCATTAGTTTTACAATCTGTAGCAGAGAAAACAGAGAGCAAAAACAGATTGAGAATTTATTTCAAAATATTTAAACTTTGATCTTCAAAAATAATTTAAATAAAATTAATTAAAACAATTTATTATTAGTAGTATTATGTCTGTGTACTTCCATTAACTTTTCAACCATGACCCAAAAAAAAAAAAGAAAAAGAGCACTCCGCTTATAATCACTAAAAAAAACTCATTTCAGTTTAACGCGATCTCTCAAAGTTCCGTTATAATCAATGAAGCTGTACACTGCACAATGAATCTCTTATTTACATCATGTTACACTTTGTTTGTTATAATGAGAGACTCCCGAGTGTGCAGCACTGAACAAAACTCTTTTCAGCAGTGAGTGGATTCTAACTTAAACGTTTGGCCATTGCGTTCAAGAAATCAACAAAAAATGTTGGTCATTGGCTACACTGATCAACGCTACAAAAACACATTGGAAATAGAAACCTTTGAAGCTCTCCAGAGTTCAAACACAAATACACACTGGAGCGTTTGGAAAATATGTTCGCCAGTATCCTATTTCTACAGCTTCAACTGAGGTGCTCTTGCTTTCGTTTTGTTCCCTCTAGCACTCCTATAAAACCGGTCGTGGATACAATTAAATGCAAAGAAATATGTAATGAGTATTTCATACATGTTTTCAGGCATGAAAAATTATCCAGATCATAAAAACATCGAGGCCAAAGCCACATCAGTAACGCGAGAGGGCGTTTATAGTGTCTGTATAGAGACACTAAAAAAGCTAGAAATTAAATTTAGCATTTATATAGGTTACATTAAAAAAAACAAGCTTTATATGATTTTTACGAATTTTAATGAAATACGTATTTTGAATAATGAAAATTAGTTTGTGTCTGCTTATACTATTCATCAGTGTTGGAACCATTGAAGAAAAAATGCATTTTCCGTATTTCGTTTCTGGGTTAAAAAACGAAAAATGAATGGACACATAAGTACACGGACCATAATAACATTAAATTTTCTTTAGTAGTTCATGTATAAAAATGAATAATTCCATATAAAAATAAGTTAATTATTGTATTAATAAAAGTACACGATGAGTGAAAAGACCAGATAACTGATTCACCATTAACAAATTGAAATTATTTGTTAAAATTAAATACAATTAATTAAAACACATATTACATGTAGTAGTAGTATTAAATTGTCAGTAGTAGTTCACGGATATAAATAAATAATATATAACAAATTTAAAAAATATTATTTTAATAAATATTGTATATTTACATTGATGTGTTTTAAAGCCATAGTAAGTGAAAAAACAATTCCATACTGTTCTAAATAGACTAAAAAAAACAAAAACAAACAAACACTTGCTGTGCCGATTTTGTACAATGGCAAAAAAGTTATGTACGAACCACTAAAATATGCAGAATCAAACAAACCACCACATCTTGTGTACTGTTTGATCTCCATTTGGTTGACACGTCTACATTTGCCACTGGTGTCAGAGTAAAAGCCAGATTCAGAAGCACCATCAGCAACTACAGCGAGTTTAAATCCGTCAAAGCTACGTTTATATAATGCTGGAAGAAAAAAATATTTCTTATTTTCCCCTTGTGTGAAAAAGCCCTCCCTCTCTTTTCCAGGAGAAAAGCACATTCATCATTCTATTGGCTCTCGCTCATTTCCCCTCAAACCTCTGAACCTTCAACCTTTTCAATCTCTTTTCTTCAGACCAAAATATAAATAAATAAAACAGAACCTCAGGACTAATCCTTATTTTTCCTCTTGCTGCTGCTAATTAAGGCACTTTAATCGTTAGCTGGATCCACCCTAGCCTTTAATGAACTGACCAGAAACACCAAACTAGCCACTTATCTAACAGTACAGTAAGTCATTAATAAGGCTAATTAATGGATATAAAAACAGTCCAAGGGAAGCTCGTGACTGATAACCAATTAAAGCAGAAAAGAAATTTCTCGCTCCATGAATGACATTTATAAATGTTTAAAGAACACATCGTCAAAGGGCCTCACGGTCATGAGCTAGGTAGAAACATCTTTATTAAAATACGTCACTTATAGGTAACTTTTTAATTTACTTCACAGAACAGCAAGATTTTCTGTGGTCAGATCAGAAAGTTATGAAGAGTTGGACATTTACCAGACACGCTGACTGGGGGACCTTTGATTTTAGCTCAACTTTAAAGAAAAAAATACAAGTATTATCCTCTCTTTTCTCAATATGAAGCGACCTCATCACCCTTTCATCTCTCATTCCTCTCTCCATTTTTTACTGTCTTGCGCTCCTCTCTCCCCTTTCTCACTCAACCTGCACATCCCTTCGTCTGCGAGCGAGAGAGACGGAGACGTTTCTTTCCCCTAATTAGCATCTGACTGAAAGGATAGACCACGGCCCGGCGGAACCTTCTGTAAATTGTACGACGATTTGAAAAAGAGAATGAGAGAGGAAGAGTATTTGGTGGATAAAAAAAAAATGAACAGTGTATTGTGGGGAGGAGAAAAGAAAAGAAAATATTAGGAGAATGAAAAGGTCAATTCAAAACTTTTCAGAAGTACAGAGCAACTCATCCATTTCCTAACTACACACTATGGCCGAGTGACAGTTAAATTATAACCCAATATTTTTCAGCTATTTAACAATACAGAAAATAGATCTCGATATGTATATATTTGCTCTGAAACGGCTTAAAAGAATGATTTTTCCAATTAGAGGAAGAATCATTTTGACTGAATTGTCATTTTATCCAAGTAGATTCAAAATGTTGAAGTAAAGGACTTCCTTGAAGACAAGGAAGAATATGTAATAATTATTTTATAATTATAATCATTTTGGTCACAAAGCACATCCACACTGCTGACATAACCCGTTATGACTTATCCTCACTGTGTGCACAAAATAGACTCTGGCAGTCAAGAACACATCACTGTTTTCTTTTCTTTTTTTTCAGTTTTCAAATATTTTCAGTTGCTGAAATGTGATTCCTATTAACAATTTTATTTACAGAACACAAACTTACCAATTCACCACATTTGCTACACAAGTTAAAAGAGACAATATAAAGACAATAGACAGTGTGAAATTTGTCTAATTGCTTTTATACTTGCAGGTTGTGAATCCTTTAGGAAACTTAAATAAAAAGAACTTTAAAAATAATTGGGATACTCACAATGTTGCTCAATTTTATATAGAAAAATCACCATGAAAATAAAGAATATTGGATGTATTGCCCAGCCCTATTACACACACCAAAATTAATGTTCAGAGGCAATATCCATTACCTTGTAACTCATTATTATCAGTTAAGCCAATCTCTCTTTTTTTCCCTCCTTCCTTTGTGCTATTTGTTTCTGATGAAAAACACTTGTGGCATTTCACTCAGTAAAACAATAAAATATTAATCATTCAAGTCAGGGAACAAGTTGGTGTCCATTTGCAATTCAAATTACCACTGACTTCCTGCCAATTAATTTCCACGCGCGTGTCTCCTATCATCACGTGTCTCCAGTTATCTATTTTCTGAACTTCATTTCCAGTGGTCTTTGTATGCTCATCTATTGGCACTGTCAATGCAAAATCACTCACGAAACAACCTTTCAGCACTGAAAACACACACACAAACAAACAACAGGTTACACTCTACACAACTGCAAGTTTAACAGGTAGGCCCTCACAGATTCAGCGTACACGCAACTCTACAGGAAATCTCACATATTTCCAGAAATCTATAATTATCTGCAAAGTTCTAGTTTGCATCCATAAAGTTTAGGGAATTTGTTAAACCAATAAAAGTGCAGCATGTTCAGGTGTATTTAACACACTTAAATGCATTCCACAGAAAATCTTGTAATTCTGTCTGTGCCTATACAGGCGATAACCCACACATGAACACTTTCAGCACTGAAAACACACACAAACAAACAACAGGTTACACTCTACACAACTGCAAGTTTAACAGGTAGGCCCTCACAGATTCAGCGTACACGCAACTCTACAGGAAATCTCACATATTTCCAGAAATCTATAATTATCTGCAAAGTTCTAGTTTGCATCCATAAAGTTTAGGTAATTTGTTAAACCAATAAAAGTGCAGCATGTTCAGGTGTATTTAACACACTTAAATGCATTCCACAGAAAATCTTGTAATTCTGTCTGTGCCTATACAGGCGATAACCCACACATGAACAGGGTGCACACACATACACTTCAGCTGTCAGAGAAGTATGAGAGGGGGAATCTGAGCTTGCAGACACACACCAGATCAAAGAAACAGCATGTTTTACATGTGATCCTGTTCATTAGTTTGCAAACTACTCAATATGTGACTTTATAACTGGACCATGCACACATCATCTAGGGATTTAAGAGACAATGATGTTTAAACCTTAATTTCATAGCTAAGAATCCATATTTGGTCAATACACTAACAGGGCTTGATGCTTACATTTTTTCCCAAGAGGCACCAGTGCTCCTACTTTAAAAAATTTAGGAGTGCACAAAGAACTTGGGTACAATGAAAATTGATCAGATCATTTGTTTTTCCTTACTAAAGGAATATGACGAAACAAGCAAAACTATTTAATATATTTGAACACACAAAATTATACTAGGTTTTTAAATATTTCTGCTTCAAACTATATGCATTTAACAATTATGGATTTATTTATATTTTTTCTATTTAAACGCTAGATAGTTTATGTAACGGAAATACCAATAGTAACCAGAAAAAAATATATTCTGCATGATTTAACTGTAAACAAGCCCCATATGCTCTTATTTTAAAATGCCTTTACTACTTTACTACTATCAGTGAGACAAAATATGCACTCTTACAATCTAGAACATGCTACAATATAAACATAGTCATAATTCATCACCAGTACATCATAAGCAATCACTGGGCATAAATACACTAATTGCAAACAGCTCTAAAACAGCAAGCATGTGGAACATGCAACAGCATCACATTTTATTCTGTTTAATAATCTTTTA